TTGTGCTAGAAACTGATCTTTATTACTTTACTGAGTTATTCTAACATGATAAAAGATTTACATGAGTGATCGCGATGGTAAACGAATTCTAATTGGTTATTGTTTGTAAACAATACCTGTAGTAGATAGATCTTGTTCGGAGTATAAATCAAAACCAGGCAGTATTTAACAATTTTGACGTCCTATTATGAGACTACTCAGCGGGCGTGGAACCATAACTCCATCACTAGTCCAGAACGAAAGCTTTAGGTCTCGCACTGAGCCACTGAACCATCAGGTTGACACTTAGTTAATTCATGATACAGAGTGAAGATAGCGCTTTGTTAATGGTGACAGCTACCTCACTCCTACATAGATGGGTGATCTCAAAATAGAACAAAATAGCTGTTTAGTAATGTCTAGTAATGTTTGACCTATCATTATATTTCAACTAATTTCAATTTGTAAAGAATACCACATAAAAATTAAACAATCCTTCTTAAAACATTTACATCCAAATTATGATAGTTACACGATAATTATTGTTTCATCGACACTTATTTTGAGGCGGTAGAATTCACCTTAATGTTTTAGTTATTCTCTAACGTTATCATTTTGATCTGATAACAATAACAACAGTGATAATGATAATAATCTATAGTTTAATTTTTCAAATTATTTTTCAAGGAGTAGTATAGATAATTGACAGAAAGACAGTTAATTAATTGAATGAGGGATTAACAAATATAGAGAGGAAAATAGAAAGACAGAGTGTATCCAGTTTGTAGAAATTATTCCTCACACACACACACACTCATGAATCTTCAGCGAAATTCACAGGGTAGAGGAGGCCCAAAAAGAGTTAAAAATATGATAGAATATTTACACAGAATTTTCCCTGTAAGAAAATAATTATCAAGAGTAGAAATATTTCCAAGAACATAGTTACAATCTTATTATGTGTTTACTATTGTTAACTAGATATGATTTTTGTACACGTGAAAAATAGTATTTTATCGAGATTTTTCTTTATTCTTTTTCTTTAACATACAAGTAATTAGACTACTCATAATTATTATTATTGTAAATTACATTCACCACAGGTGGTTGATTCATTATTCATTCCAAATTATACATTGGTTTTTTCCCTGCATGATCGCTTGTTTTTTTCTTTACTGAGTGTCTTACACTGTTTGTTTTTCAATGCATTATTATTATTATCATCGTCGAGTTAAACAGTGATTAATTATATCACCCGTATTGTCTTTTTTTTTATAAAATCATCTTTAATACAGGTACTTATAGTAATAGTAGAAATAGTATCATGTAAATTGATAGGTATATGATAGTACTAATCATGAATATGGTCCCACTGGTTTATATCTTACTCTGTTTATAAATGATACCTATAAAGAGTATAATTTTAGTTAGAATGACAACGCGTTAGGAAAGATAAAGTCCTACTGAGATACACACATAACCATATGAAGATTTTTCTCTCCTTCTCTCTATCTCTCACTGTTCACATTTTTTGTTATTAAATCAAATCTAATCTAATTGAATGTGCATTCAACTTGGCTCTATACGTATACGTGTCTGATCCTACGTTGTAGATGAGTGATTGATTGACTGACTAATAGTGCATTTTTTTCTTAAAAATATAAAAGTTTTCATTTACTTCAAGTCGTATAACTGGTTTAAGTTTCCTTATTTTACATTCTCTAACAAATAATATAATAAGTATTGTTACATAAAAATAATAAAAACTTGATGGCTAAATAATATAGCATATTTTTAGTGTATCTATTAGCTTATTAAGCACATTAAACAATCGAAAATTATCCTATATAGAGTGAATTTCAAATCTTTAGATTCAACACACAATCGCTCATCACAGGCGAGTAACTAACATACTGTATACAATCAGTGAAATACAAATAAATATATCACCAGTTTGTAGTGAAGATTTCGTCTAAAATATATATGTGCAAAACCATTTCAGTTAATGATAATAACCATCTATTCAATAATGATTTAAGATTGATTTCCTAAAAATTTAAGGAAAAACTGTAATCTAAGGTGTAATTCATGTAGGATATGAGATAACAACTATCCTATATCAGAAGGGGTTTTGTGGAGATTGTAGTAATTTCAATGATTAAGATCATGAGTCAGTTGAAGCTAGACCACCATGGAAAACCTGGAAGCACTGGACGGCCGTTTCGTCCTATTATGGGACTCCTCAGCAGTGCGCATCCACGACCTCGCCCCCTGCGAGATTTGAACCCAGGACCTACTGGCTTCGCGCGCGGGCACTTAACCACTAGACCACTGAGCCGGCATCCAACGGTGTTAATGTCTAACTTCAACTAATCCACGAAATTGAGCGACACATCCACCATTGTCTTCAGTGAGTTACTATCCCACAACAGACCAGTGCTTCCAGGTTTTCCATGGTGGTCTAGCTTCAACTGACTCATGATCTTAATCATTGAAACTATCCTATAGTCAAAATTGTATTGTATTAAAAGTTTATCAAAGTTTAAAAAAATTGAATTGGTAGTCTCTAATTCAATAATTAAAAGGTTCTTGAACAAACTAAGTGAACTGAATATTCTTGTCTCAATCTTGTTATTAGTTTAGGATTACACTGTACAAAAGATTCCATAGAGAGATCTTCACTACTATCTAGTTTTCAATAATTTGATCAAGTTTTATTTTATTTAAAAATTCAATAATATTTATCAAGTATTTCAAATCTCATTTATTGATTGCTAAGGAAGTAATCAATTATTCAATTCTCAATAAATTTTATTCTTCAGTTTCATAATGTTATTACAAAGGTAAGTTATTATGTTCAATGTTAAATGAAATGAGGAGCCAGCTAAGTCCTTCGATCTACATTTTGTTTTATATCGTAACAATTTCCTTGAAATCTAACTACACTGAAGTTTCAGTTTATTTTAGCCCTAAATCGCTTAACACTTTAAAATTTCAGCAGTTTATGGGATTAAATTACATTCTTATAATAATTTTAATGGTTGAGATCATGAATCAATTAAAGCTAGACCACCATAGAAATCCTGGAAGCCCTGGATGGTCGTTTTGTTCTATTGTGGGACTCCACAGCCGTACATATCCACGATCCCGCCCAGCGAGATTCGAACTCAGGACCTGCCAGTCTCTTAATTCATGATCTCAACTATCAAAATTACTATAATATCCACAAAAACCCTTCTGATACACCCTTATAAGTTTTGTAGAGAATACGCTACACCGAAATGGATTTGTATTTCAACATACATTCATATAAATAAATTTACACACACAAATCTTTCATTCTAACTTCAATGAGAATCAATGTTTTCATATTCTTTAATACATTTTCCAGATTTACAATTATAAATGTAAATTTCCCATTCCATTCAATCTTCATAAATCAATTAACGTTTGCTTCACTAGTCTTAATGTAAATAAAATTTTAAACAGAATTATTCTGTGAATTAATTTATCAAGTTATAAATCATTTTGACCTTTTATTTCTGTGAAATACTTTGACTGACATTTCATAAACTGCATTAAGGACAATGGACATGACTGATATTCAATTGAATTACATTTATGTAATGTTGATCAGAATAATATGATTTATACAAACATTTAGAATAAAATATTATTGTCAACTAAGTGAATATACCATCTATTATGGTTCAATTCATTTTAACCGTAATAAAACCTCGCAATTAAAAACAAAATATATTATATCAACAGGATTATACTGAGGAACTTTTTTTCTCAACGAGATTACTTTTTTTATTGTAAGACTTTCAAAGTTTTGCTTGACATCATCGTCAGGTGCAAAACTGGGAAATAAATAGGTTATTAGAATTTTTCCATTGGTAGTGAACAGTTTATTATGTCCACATAGGTTGTGATTGACTTTTATATGTAGTTTGAATTTTTTTGTCAATCGTTAAAGATCCATGAATAAATCATCTTATTCAGGTAAAGTATAACCATAAAAATATTAAAATCTTTCAGATGAATAAAAGTAATCAGTAAAAAGAAATGGGTTTAGACATTTATCGATAGTTATGTGATATTGAATCACATAAAGGCGAGGATTGGCAAAGCAAGGACAGCAGTCCTAGAGTTGAAGAACATATACAACTCAAAATAACTGTCTGTCAACCAATATCAACATCAAAAACAGTCAGTTCTACTGTACGGAGCAGAAACTACAACCATAATCAAAAACGCACAAGAATTTATAAATAATAATAATTGTCTACGTAAGATACTGAATGTTCGTGGACCGGATACCATCAGCAGCAGCCTATTGTGGGAGAAAACAAACTAAATTCCAGCTGAGGTGGAGATTAGGAAAAGACGTTGGAGGTGGATAGGACACACATCGAGGAAATCGTCAAATTGCACCATGAGGCAAGCACTAATTTGGAATCCTGAATGTAAACGGAAAAGAGGAAGGCCGAAGAACACACCACGTCGGAAGTTGAAAGCAGGAATGAAAAAGATGAATAGCAACTGGAAAATATTGCTCAGTGCAGAGTTGGATGAAGAATGCTGATGGGCGGCCTATGTTCCTCCAGAAGGGGTAATAAGCGTAAGTAAGTAATTAAGTGATATCGAATAAAATATACCGTAATATAGAGTTGCTCAATTGTTTGAATACTAAATGGACAAAATTCATTCAACACAGTAATTTAAACAACAGACTGGAAACGTTTTTAACATTTCCTCTTCGTAATTCTTCAATCGCCCTCTCTTTCTAGCAACTTAAATCTCATTTAAATATAAGATTCGAACATAGACAAGAAGTGATGATAACATTCTGTTGAAGAGATAATGATAACTACTCAAAAATACCGTGTAGTTTTCCTTATCAGTCGGCTACCATAAAATAGTTGGCACCAATTTTTGTTAAAATTATGGGTTTTTTCCTTTAATTTATTAGTGTGAAATTTAATAGTTTACGGTTCCAAATCTAATCATTGACTTACCACAAGATGTTGAAATAGCCATTGTTTCATAATTTGAGTAGCACGTTTGGGAAGTACACCACGTTTTTGCTTTCCACCAACACATAGTCCATCCAAACTAGCATGAAATGCTGCACTACTTAAAGCAGTTGATCCATATGGTGAAAGAAATGAATGCAGCTGGGATAGTGACTCATCACATGAAACTGAACCATCTTGAACAATAGATTTATCCATAAAATAAGGTGAATTATAATTAGCCATATTAAAATTTGGAGTATAGCATGATCCATTCATATCATAACCTGTACGAATATTGGGAAGTGAATTGGAATGTAAACAATCTGAACGAAGATTTTCTACATCAGATGAACCACATAAAGATTCATCATCTAATCGACTGGATAAATGACGTTGATATCCTGGTGGAATCTAAAAAGTTGAACAAAAGTAAAGGCTTGTCAATTATGATACATAATTACCATTATCGAAATTTAACTTTATAGTTTAAAATAAATTAACTATTACGCACGGTTTAAAACGTTAGAAAAATAATATAAAATAGTAAATATCCGAATGCGTGGAAAATTAAATATTTGACACTTCACCACATAATGTAAATCGTTTCTCCAAAGAATAACTATTTCAAGTTAATACAAGTTTCAGTGATACACGGAACAAATCAAATCAAGTTTTTTATTCACGTATGGAAATCTAATTATGTGAATGCCATGCCATTCGGGTCAAAGATGATTTTATATAAAACATGATTTGTGTATTCGTGTATATTTAAGTAGGTGGGAACAAATGTGCTATTTGTAATGTGGTCGAGTACTTTGATCATTATGAGTACTTGATCAGTGATTATGAACAGGTTAAATGTGACTGTTTTGATATATTGTCTATGTGAGTAAAACATCTTATTCAGTTATAATATCAAGAATTTTTAGGATATAGCAATTTAGGAAATGAGTCAGCTACTAGTCCTTCTCCATAGCTAAAGAAACCTCTTCGAATTATTTGAACATGTTAAATTTTGATTCCACGTTGGTTGAATATGGAATGAATTAATAATTTGATAAATCGATCCTTTAGTTCAGTAAAAATACTTATTTTTTGGTGTTGCTTTAGTGTTCGTTAATTCTTCTGGGAATTCCTCTAAGGTTACTGATGGTTCCGTGGCCAGATAAAGGAGTACAGTGGGGTTTAGAGCCAGTAATCCTACATCATAAGAAAGAACCCCATTATAAAACTCTAAATAAGGTATCTTTAGATTGCTTAAAAAACGGTATATTGTTCTTGTGTGCAAATTATTAATAGTCATGCAAAGTTGCTTTCATGAATTAAAAAGTATTTCACTCCAGTGTTTAATGCATATTTTTATGGATAGCTTACGATTTATGACATGAACAGTTTCATTCTCCCATAATAGTTGGTATTCAGTAGTTTAACATCAGGAGAATGAATGTTTTATAAGTTAAATTCTTTCGTCCTCATCCATTCTAATGATGATTAACTTATATAGTAGAGAATACCGTTTCAATACTTGGCCTTGCGTTTAATAGACATGATGTAATTTGTACAAAATAAAACAGCAAATTAAATGAAGCATTCACATGTTCCTTTAATTAGAAAAACAAATGAGCAACAGACAGGATTCCTTTCTTACTAAAACTACTTATAATAAAGGAAATTTTTCTTAGTTACATAATATATTAATTTGACGCAATTATCGGAAAAGGGAAAAATTCGTTTTACGGGTTTGTTACGGTTGTCATAATTGCATAATGCAGTCTTAGTATAGGCTGTCAATATTTGCTTAGACAATTTAGATTTTTAGATATAAAAGCTAAATAAATGATTCTGCTCATCCAACTAGAATGTTCTATCAAAATGTCACTTAAATGTTTAATCAGAATTCTCAGGTGGAATAAGTGCCTTGTTAGTCTTTTTAAAAAAAACTTTATGTGTTATACATAATCTACCATGAACAATATCGTTCTGTCATGGCATAAATATAACATTTATATTATCAGATTTCTATACATGCACATAATACTTAATTTGATATGTTCTTTGTATTAATGAAACTTGTGTTAACATGAAAAAGTTATTTATTCTTTGAAGAAATGATTTACACTATGTAGTGAAGTGTCAAAAAAATTAATTCGGATATTATTGTAAATTTAAATAAACATTCATTTATGAGTAGTTTTTTGCAATAACGAAAGTATGAAAACTTTTGTTCTGAAAGTCTCTAATGGATAAACTATAGTATATTGGCAAAATGTTACTCACAACTAAATGAATGAAATATACTTTATTTTCCTACTTAGATTTATCTATCCACAGAAGTAGCCTTTGTTTGTATATTCTTTGAAGTTCCTCATCTGTAAAGAATGTGATACATTCTTGATTAATTTTAGTTATCGGAGATTGATTCCAAGATATCAGTACCAAATTTAGCAACACTTTCACCAATCAGTTGAGACAATTTTCTTCTTCTTCAAACAATTCTGGATAATCAGGAGTTTTGTGGAGATTTTAGAAATTTCAATAGTTGAAATCTTAAGTCAATTGAAGCTAGATCACCATCGAAAACCTGGAAGTACTGGATGGCCGTTTCGTGCTAGTATAAGACTCCTCGGCAGTGCGCATCCACGGTCCTGCCCCCCGCAAGACTGGTAGGTCCTGGGTTCGAGTCTCGCCGGCGGGATCGTTGATGCGCACTGCTGAGGAGTCTCATATTAAGACGTAACGGCCGTCCAGTACTTCCAGGTTTTCCATGGTGGTCTGGCTTTAATTGACTCATGATTTCAACTATTGAAAATTCTGGATAAGTGTATTGATTTATTAGATCAAATTAATATAAATCACAAATAAAATGTTTTATGAAAGTGTGATTAGTGATATCAGGATTTCTTTTCTTTAAATTCATCCAACTTTCAATCTCATTCATCAATCAACTACAAGTCATTTTGATGGATATATAGTTATGGTAGAATTAACTAATAAACTTCTTTTTCAATATATCTGTCGTTGGATGAGACAATCTCATAGAAAACTATCATTAAATGTCTTAAAAAACTGTATGGGCTATATCATTCATATATTAAATACAGATTTTAAAAATATACGTTACTTTATGGCAGAATAGAAAAATCTATCATATATTCTTAACTATGTAGTTTATTATTTGAAGTTAGTTTTGTATTCAAGAATATCAGTATGCATTCATAGGCTTCTTGTAACTGAACTTCCCATCAATGCATGCATAGTATGTGTATGTATGTAAAAAAAAATAAAAAGAATTTGCATATTAAAATTTAAAAGTCAATAATTGTTTATATAAATTTTCCTCTATTCAACCATATTTATTTTGTAAAAAAGAAAAAGAACTTAACGTATAAAGTAGTAAGTAATGGAATCATATGGGAAAAAACATCTACATTCTCTATGGCCACCTACTGTGTAGGAAGCGTTTTTTTTTTTAAAAATGAAAAAAACGAAATACGAGTAGCCCTAATCAGATGTATTTTCTATTTTTGTGGAAATGGATTTGTTAAAAGTGTTATGATAAATGAACTGGATCATTTGATATGTGAATTCTAGTTACAGTGACATTTATTCATCTACTTATATACAGACATATTTATGTTTCATATACTGTCAGTGTATATTGTTTAATCTATTAGGTTTAAGTCTTGAATAGGAAACCAGTTGTCCGTATTTATTTTTGTGGACTATATTCAATTGTTTGGTATTTTGAAACTAATATTCCTATTACAATTACAGTTAATAACGAACAGTAGTTTCTATTCACTAATATGTTACTTCTGTATTTTGTAGCTTTCTGACAAAAAAAATTGAGACAGCTTCCGTAGGAAAAATGATTGTTGAGGATTGAATTATTGTGTAGTTAAGGTTATAGTTTGCTAAGTCTAATGTAGATTTTTTTAATCAAACGAGTGTTGTGAAGGTTTCGATTTCAACTGTGTACCAGTTTAAACATGTCTACTTCAGATTGAGTATATAATAGGAATATAAGAAAGATTGTTGTAGTAAAGTATTCGTTGGACTTCTTACTGAAATCATATCAAATCGAGGTCTATCAACAAATTATCCAATTCTTCGCAGGTCAGTTCGATAAAACCATGGTTAGATGACTTGAGTATTTATAACATGGTGATAGGCATAAATTTGTCAGGAAAACATCAGAAGTACATTAACTTAAACCTGCAGATTCAAAGTTACACATCATGATGTTTTAAAACTAATATTATTAATAATAAGTATTTAGCAGAATCCGGTCATCTTGGAATTGGGCTCAGTATATTTACTTATTTTCATAGTTCACATTACGGATTGAACTTAGTTGGACGACCAATGTAAATCACGTGGTATTGAACAACTGTTTCGCCCGAATATGGGATTTCTCATTAGTAAGCATCCATCACATGAGATAAAAACTAAGACCTTCAGTTTCGCGTGCAAACACTTAACCACTGAGCTGGAATTAAATTATATATATGTCCAACTTCAAGATAGTCATGCATTAGCATAAACTTTAAAACGGAACATATGTCCAGTGTTAGCTAATTTTTAACGGTTATCCAACTAAGATCAATCCTTTATCAAAGCTATGAAAATGTAACGATCTCTAAAAACCGCTTGTACTCATACTTATTTATTTCCGGCAAAACCGGACTATATGACAATTTAAGTTAGTAATTAGAAAATATAGAACACATGTCAGTAGTATTTTTAATTTAAATACTTTTATGTGTACCCATAATTTAGATGCTGGACAACACTTATAAGCATCAATCATAGGTCATTAGATAGCAAAATTTAATTTTCACTCTGGATATGATATTGTATTTTGATATTTTTTCATTGAGAATTCATATAAGTTTAGTGTTGGTTAAGTAAACTCATATTTCCATGAACAAACTGGGAAACATTCGAAACTTTGATTAATTATGGTCATATCTTGATGCAATTATATCCATATACATCTGACATCAAACCGTAAAGTATTAATCCTTTTTTTAGAACGCCAGAAGGAGGTTCATTCAAGACCAAGTGTGAAATATTATGTCATTTTATTATAATCCTACTCGAGGCTGGTCAGTGACTGAACAGACCACTGGTAACATCATTTTCTGTAACCCTGAGTGAGGCTCATTCTAATTCCACAAGAAGTAGCACATTGGATATATAGCTTATTGTCTAGTAACCTAGGTTATGAACTGAATGCAATCTCAACTAATTCCATTTCTCAACTATTGAATCAATGACTTTTTAATATTTACAAGGGCTATGAAAAAAAATGACAAGTTTATAAAGACCAAAGTCTTTAAAAGTTCATGTCAGAAAAACGGCCAGAGAAATCTAAAACTTTCATAGTAACTGTTTCATATTTGTCTCGTACATGCTAAGTGTAATTAGACTGAAACCGATTGTGCTTAAGGTTCTCTGACTCTTTTAAAGTAACGTTTGGAACCTAGTCCAAGTAATCAATTATAAAAAAGCGTTTATATTTTGATTTTATACTTATTAATTCCATGATAGAGTAATCTACTGGAAATAGAATCCTTGGTATTTTGCTAAAAAATAATTAGCAGTAGTAGTGAATGAACACTCGAATGTGGAAGACCAGGTTGATGACTGATACACAACCACGCAGTAAGTAAAATGTGAAAACCATACATCAAATGCATCATTTGCACATCTTTCAGTTGACCTTTACTTCCTTCATGATTCCTCCAATTCAGTTTGTATTCCAATCCCTTTATGTTTTCTTTCTTTCTTCTCCTTATTTTAATCTTCCTTTTCTGATTGGTATTACATACTACTTATGTCGACAGACATAAGTAACATACACCATAGTAGCAGTAGCATTTGCACGATATATATATATATATATATCGTTTATAATTAATGCTTATAAGCATAAATCTAACTTGATTTATGTGAATAAACAGGAATCAATAATAGAAGTGACTCCATTCCTACTGTATTTAGCTTGAAATGTTGTCAAGTAAGCACATGCATAAACATTCCTAGCTAAGTCATGAATTCACTTGCACATACAAATATACAAACAATAAATGATTGACATAAACTATCCTCTCACATAAACTTATTTGAAACTTGAAAAACCAAGTGTGAATTTGTATACAACTGTTGTTATTCTATAATAGCAGAATAACGTATATGTGAAAAAAATTGGAACTAAATTTAAATTTGAATAACCGGAAAAGACATAACAAAATTACCATATCAGTTGGTCCAGGATGACAGGATAAATTTGGTCCTAGCATATGATGGTGGTGATGATGAGGATAACGAGGATTGTAACAACCCGGTGCAACTGGAGAAACAGCTTCAGATTCTCCAGGTGAAGATGGTTGTGAATCTAATTGGTTAATATGAGAGAAAATTAAGGGAAACTATTGAAAATGTTTGACTAGAGAAATTTGATAGATTATATAAAAATACTTGATTAAATTCCTGACATTCCCAAATCATTTTAACTTTTAGTATTGATTCGACATTTCATGTTAAACATTTTTTTGAAGTATCTACAAGTTACTGCAGAAGAAGATTTAATGTAATATAAAGTTTTTGAAAGAAAATTCTATAATAGTGACCTGCATATTGACTCCGAACAAACAGACTAATCTAAAAATATGGTGTAAATGAATACTTTCTCGAACATGCCATAGTCAGCACATAGGGTCACATTAAAGCTCCTCACTGATATATTACATGGAGTACATCTGGTCAAGTGTTGTGATAAATTATATTTGACAATTTATGAACGGGCGTTAACGACTTTTAATGTTTTTTTCTCATTTGATTATAATTTGTCGGTTCTCAGTCGATAGGGAGTAAGACATTTTGGCAAAGAATAGATTTTTTATATTCTAAAGTATTGAGTCTTGGGATATTCTTTATCTTATCATAGAAAATTATAGCAAATTTTAACTTGACCAAATTATTGATTGTTACGTAAGAACGTTTTCTCACCCTCAAATAAGGATCGTAGTAGAGTTATTGATCACAAGTCCGGTGAAGAACTTAACTATTCATTCATAATGAATACTAGCAATACGGAAATAAAAATTGTTTAAACAAGGTTGCATAAATTTGCCTTATGAAGAATCGATCCATCACTAAACACAAGACCTAGACCACTTTTTACGATTATTTCATCAGTCTCATAATAATATATACTATTTTCAAAACCATCTTTATTAATTGGAGTTTTGTTAAATTATTCATGAGTCAGTTTGACGTACTTATATCACAATGTAAATGTTCAAGATGAGACCTGTTTCAGAAATTAATAAAGACAATGAGAAAATATAAACCTTCGGAAATAATTTCATACCCGGTGAACAAGTTAGTAAATACCTAGATTCAGTAGATCAGTGGATAACACGCTAGCATTTGAAACGATAGGTACAAGGCTCAAATTTCAGGACGAACATCAATAATAGGATGTTGATACATTCAACTGGCACTATTAGTCATAATTCAAATTTAATATAAATAATCTGTTGCATTCATTATTCACCATAGCTAAACCTTATTACATTTCATGTAATCAAATAGATTCTAACTTAACGACATTTAGTGGCTAGTAGTAGAATCCAGGACACGCATTTCGTCCTATTTGGGACTCGTCAGTTGAATGTACCTGCATCTCAGTGTTGATGTTCACCCCAAGACTTGAACCCAATCCCGTATGCTTTAAGTAATATCGCGTTATCCATTTAGCTACTGAATCCTGATAGCTACCTGCTTGTGCAATGGAGTGAAGTTTTAAACTCACTTGATGTTATTTACTTGAATATTCTTATTGACGTTTTGGACTGTAATTGATCAGTCTCTTATTAGTATATGTACAACCTGTGTGTATTGCCTCAATATTGCCTTAATTCACTGAACTGATCAAATACAGTCTGAAACATTAATGAGAAGATTCAAGTAAACAATACCAAGTGAATTTAAAATTATAAGTATTAATCGCGTATATGTATATAACAAAAAGACGTGAAACTGGGGAAAAAAATAAAATCAAAAAATAATTAATAGGAGTAAATAATTCAATGGTGAAAAAGTAATTGCAAAATCCCATTAATAACTATTAAGTTAAATAGGTTAAGGGTAATTTATTCCTGAGGCGAAAAAAAATATTATTTACATAACTTTATTCAAGGATGTCATCAGAACTGGACTTTAAAATATATTCAATATTACCATTCCTTTAAAAATAATTGAAATATATTAAAAGATATAAAAGCTTATTATTGTATTCTTTAAATTATAACCAATAAAACGAAATAAGGGCTCATACTGAGTCAGTAACTTATCATCAAGGTCACTAATATGAAGGAATTAAATAGGGAAATGGTGTGTAAAACAGTGCATACGCTACTGAAACAAATACAGATGAATTTGAAATAGTTAACAGAAATAAACTTTATCATATGCGGGTAGGATTTTTTGTTTGTTTAAAAGAATCATGCACGATTATTTACAAATTAATTTCATCGACTCATATATATGTATATATATATATATATATATATATATATATATATATATATATATTAAAATGGCACAAGTTTGAAATTACAAAGAGGAATAAATCTATCCATTAGTTCAGTGTAATTCACCAACTAGGACCTTATCGCGTGTATTACTAATTCAAAATATATAAATTGACACAATAGCTTTGTAAAAAAAAATAAATATAATATAAATATTTTGTTTATCTTTTCACTTAAAGGTCATAGCACTTATGAGGCGTGGTCACTAGAATTCTATCTTTATATTTATTTCTTCCTTTCTCCATTTACTAATATGATGTTACAAAGAGAAATGATTTGATTATAGTGATGACGGTAAAGATTTTAAGGATGATATTGATAGGTTGTTGTTAAAAAAAAGAGAAATTATCAATAACCTTTCGTGTTTACTAATTCATTCTTATGTAGTCGCCATCTTTACAATAGTGCTTGTAGGTAGGTACACATATTTATCCTGTATGAATATAAATAAAAAGACGAAAAAAATGAAAAAAAATTTCTCAAGAATAAACTCAGAAACACAGATCAATAGTCAAATTGCTGTTGTAATAAATGTATGGTACTAGGATAGACAGATGGTGATTATTTGTTTCGAAAAACATAGTAAATAATCATATGATTGTAGTTACAGCATTTAATCAGTAAATAACAACACAACGATGTATCCCAATAAAACATCTGATAAACTACTAAACATCAATCGATATTGTTTCATTTTTAGTTTTAGGATAGAATTGAATCAATATAACAAGCATAAAACTATGAAGCTATTAACATAGAAAGTCATCGATATTTCATAGTATCATAATGCATGGTAAACTGATTGATTCAGATATCATTACATACCTGTAGAGATTAATGATTATAATGTTCTAATCACCATTTATTTTGTTGTATGTAGTGTTTTTAATGTGTTTTTACTGGTAAAATGTGTTGTTTTTTACATTAGTATTCATTCATTCAACAGTTTGGTAAGATTGACAAAGTGTTATTAACACTAGATGTTAGTTAATTTCTTAGTTTATTGAACTCACATTTAAATCCATAATTAATATGAAATTTAATCAACTCCAAATAACATTATCATTATCTAATGTCACTAACGAACATTTTCAACTATATGTAAACATAATTATAAAGGATTTGTAGCGATTATCGAATGTTATTAGAATCACAAACCGGCCTAAGACATATAACGATTGAAAACTATGAAGGATTGAATAGCTGTTTCGTTTCAATATGGGACTCATTTTCAGCTAGACCAAGGGTCGGACGATGTTATGATATAGTACAAACATTATAGTCTTGATCTATTCGAATCATAGGCATTTTTTTCTGATAATCAATAATTATTTTTAGATGATAACAGTTTTTGATGAAAATAAAATCGTAACATTGGAAAAATCGTAAGAGTAACAGATAAAGGATTTTTTCAAAAATTTTTCTTAGATGCCTTTACCACTTAATTTATGATATATCCAACCAAAATATGAAGTTGTATTGAAGATCTATGATGATATAGGAATCAAACTATAAAGTATGATCATCTAAGTTATTTTTAAAATATCCCTAAATTAATCATACGTGGAAAAAAATACTGAGTAAATGTTAGGCCATTTACTTAGATCCAATTCTATTGATTAAGATTTATCCTAAAAACTATTATTCTATAATTTAAAATAAGATATTTAATTTATACAGCAAAGCATAGTAACATATTTCATTAATAGATTGTTGTACAACGAGTAATCCTATGTAATATATCTGAATCAAATAGTATGTCAATAATGGTTGACATTTTTACTTGAAAAACTGATCGTGAAACAACTACATTCACAAGCACTTAGATTGAGTAATACTAAGGAGTGATAAACGAATATTTTTTTAATCCACTAAATCACTATTCTGGACTTGCTAATGATAATTATTCTATTATTCATTTGCTTAGTATTTATACGTCTATGTTGTATGTTATAGGTAGTAGGATTGAAACAGCATTTTTGTAAACCGACGATTGAACATACCTACCGACAAAATTTGTACATTTTTAGCAGTCGGCAAAAATAAATACATCACACTGATGTTAATGAAATGTATTATTGAATCAACTGATTTCTAATTTGATGAAAATTTGTTTGATATTTATTAAGATTAACTCTCTAAAACCTACGTTATTAATATTTATAAGGGGTAGATGATGTTAGAGGTGTAGTGGGCATTATTCACAAAGATGTTTGTAAGTAGTATAGTGGAACATGACCTCGAAGTTGCAGCAATTTTGAGATAGATTGAAGAGCATCAGTACACGGCGTTGACAGAGCACTTTGAGGCCAGTCGAGAAAATAGTTTAGATTTTAGAATACATCGAATTACGCAAATAAACCATTGAAGGCTATGTATATGTTTTATGTACATATTTCATAACTCCGTGCATTTAAATTACCTTACTCCTGTCTATTGTCGTGTTGTACGGAAGTTCTTTTCATTTTCAAATAAACTATAATCCAATGTTAGATAGAACCCTGAAAAAATGATTGATGACTACATACATTGATAAACTGAAAGAATATTTCAAAATCAAAACCCCTTTTATTTGTTTCGATCATGATAGAAGTCTAAGATGACATGCAACACATAAAATCAGTACAGTATTTCAATAGATAGTTTTCTCAAATAAAAATGAATAATTTCTTAATTTATATTTAACCTATATAACTTCCTGTGTTACAAATCAAGCTCATACATGAAAAATAATAATGTTCATTCATTACGAACATTATATAATATTATTACTATTGCACTACACAAGTAACTATGACAATGTTTACTAATTACAGTATACTTCTTTGTTTAAAAAAGAAAACAAGAAGGTGAGGACTAATAATCTAAAACTGGATTATAACAATAATGAAGGTATACGCCATAAATTACTATATTCAGACAGTCTATTTTATTTATTTATTTATTCAATTCAAGACAGTCCTAATGTAAATGGATATTCTAAACAATGAAAAAGCATTAACTAATTTTATACGAATTCTTTTCAAACTGTATAGGGTTTTCTATTGAGATATATTAAAGAAATTAAAAAGAAAAAATTTTTTTCGTTTTATGATTTTCTTTTGTCTGCTTATCGAAAGTTACGCGTTTGTTTTTCATTATTATTTTCATGTATGTTTGTACGTATACAAATGTACGGGTGTGTATACTTTACCCCGTATCCAGTATACTGATTACTATTTTGTCCATTATTTGATACTTTACGTACATAAATATACATTCTATATACTTATAAACATAAGCATATACGTACTGATTTTTTGAAAATCTACAAATGCTTACAACGACAGAATAATCATAATCGCGTGCATAAACTATACATATATATATAATAAAAGTAATTTGTCCGAAAAAAATGCACACTTGAATGTCAATCATGATACTCTTTTTCATTGTCAATCATAATGATCCTAGTATTCTAGCATCATTTTACATTTCAATCAGTCATTCAGTAATTTACTAAGTAATTCATTAGCCTTCTTATTTTTTAAACTTAAAGTTGAATGCAAGACGGGTAGTGAATGAAACGAAAGTAAAAGAGGGGGTACGTATATCGCTATATCAATGTAACTATTTATTCTTCATTTTTTAAAATAATATTTTTAGTATTTTCTGTATAGAAACGATTTACATGAACCAACTATGATTTATCTTGGTTACATCATCTTTATTATTTTAATGTACATAAGATTTTCTCACTTAACTGTATCTTAGACAGAAATAGAACTGATAGTTTTCATTTCATGTTCAAATCTATTCAGTATAGAGGGTTTATGCTTATTATCGAATTTCATACTCTACATCTTCGAATGATCATAGTAAAATAGTTACTGAAAACTAAAAAGTAGTGGTAATATGTTTCGTCGTAATGTTGGATCCCTCAGAATTAAGTGTTTGCTGGGGGGTCGAGCCAAGGACATTCATGAATTTCAAGTGATGCTTAACATTTAAATCACTAATTAAGTTTGGCCGAAAACGAAAAGACTAAATGGCCTTAATTAATACATATCTGTGTTTTCTAGTTCATATAATCCACAGAACTGAGTAAATTAATTGTAGTTAACAAGCCTCAATAAAGTTAAAATTTTACCATCAATCAGGTCTAGTAATAAAATTTTGAATTTTTACCTTGCTGTTTAGAGCAAACCAGTAAGTCATATTCACTGTTTTAGTTCAAATAATTTAGTGGAATTTGGAGTGAATATTGGTTTTCTCTAAAAGCTTGACGAAGGCCGATGATTAAGAAACGAAACACTAGTTCATTAATTCCATAAACTGTTGATATTTACTGAATACTTAAGCTTATAATTTACCTTTTCTTATTGATTAAATTATTATTGATCACTGATTTCCTATGCATAATCGGATTTTTCATCCAGTAGTTTACAATTATGTGTTTTCGTTTTTAATAAGAATTAAAATTTGTATGCTTGATGACATATTAAAAGAAAAAAAAGCCGGAAAAGAAAAATGTCATGGAAACAGGCTACTAGTTCTTATGTTGCTAATATTAGTATTTATCAATATAATAATAATGGCAATAATAATGATGATAATAGTTTTGTCTATAGTTAAGGTCTTGTCCTCGTTGTGAAATCGGCTTCCGTTTTATACTTTATCCGCCCAGTCGATTCAGTACATTATATTCATCCAGTTATTCATCTAAGCAGCCACTCAGTCAGCTAGTCAGTCAACTTCTTTCGTTCGTCCGTCCGTCTGTTCATCCGTCCTTCCATATATTCAATCGTCTATTTATTCATTTTTTTCATGGCCCTCCCTCAAATCTACTATAGTACCAGTGCCACCATCACGAACAACAACATCAGTATGAATATAGTTAAAAATTAAAAATAAAATAATAATCTAATATTATATGAAAGTGATGGCGGAAATAAATACTATTTCAAACATGAAATAAAGACATTCAAAAGTGTGAGTTGAAAATTGTGACACACATATATGTAGAGAGAGACATATTTAGTTAGACATATAGACGAAGAATATAAGTGAATACGTGTCGGCGTTCGCTTCTCAGAAAAGAATAGCTATTATTATTACCACTACTATTATTATTATCGTTAGTAGTAGTAGTAGTAGTAGTAGTAGTAGTAGTAGTAGTAATGGTAGCAATAGTAGTAGCTTCCACTTCACTGTAATTTGGACTACTAAATTATCTATATGTACCCACATGAAAACTATCTTTTTTCTTTTCTAAAAAAATTGAGAAATTCTAAAGAATAAATGTAACTTTATTTTAGCTTATTTTAAATAATAGTGATAATAATCATTATTGTTTTCTATATAAAACAAAATAACAGAATAATAAATCGGAATAAATTCTTAATAATATTACTTGATTAAATGAATCCATTATACGTATGTATCAAGTACAATTTAGTTAAAAAGTATTGTAGGTAACTTTACATCTATTTTGACTCCTTTTTTTGGTTTTTTAATATTCAATTTGTTGAGAAAGTTGTTCACAAGAAATCATAACATGCTAATACTGTTCAGTCAATAATTTCACTCAAGTTAATATGACAGATAGAAGAAAAACAAGTAACCGAAAAGTGTTTGAATGAAGCAATGTGTAGTAGAAGATTTATTTTTGTTTGTCTATTATTAGTATAATTATTAAATGACTGAAATAACACAGAGTTTATAGAATGAATATATTATTGATAATAACTACCTATTATTAAAGATAATTTAATTAAGGAATTCCGCGGGGTTTACTTCTAACCACCAAGTACTAAAACAAGCCATTGACAATTAGTCTTCAGCTTCTGAATCTATTGGTTATATTAAAATGTAGAATTTGTTCATCACTTATGACTAGCTATAACATTGAGTATTATTAAGTGATCAGTTAATACAGACAGAATCAAATAGCTCAATGATAATGCTTTTGATCGTAATAATTGTTGATATGGATCTGAATTTCTGCTGATTATCGAGTTTCTTAATATTACTGGCAAGTCTTAGTGAAAAGCTCCAAACAGCATGAAACTTGTGTTGAACTTGTAAATGATTGCATTCAAACAACTATTACAGTAAATTGACTCAAGTTATTATGTTCGAATGAAGTGATAACAAATATGAATGCAGTAAACTAAACAAGAATCAGGAGAGACAACACAAAAACAAAAACAAAACTAAATGAAAAGCAGTAACCAAAACTTAATTTGTTCAAAAGGAAGTTACATTACCAACATGGACTTCGAAACCTACCTAGAGAATTGTTAATAATTGATTTTCAAAATTACATATAATAATTCAAAAAGGTTATCTATATTTATATGGCAGTAGAATACTTAGAAACTTTGTAAATCATTCCCCGGTTTCTATTATAATATGAATGTATGCGATAAATGTTCAGAACTTGTCAGTCAGTACATGTTTAAAAAATTCGATACAGATGAACGCATTATTTAAAAAATGATATAGATACGATTCAATTAGATTTGTGATAAATTTCAAGTTGATTGATTTCCAAACAATTAGGTGAATACTTGAAGGACTTTTGTAGAGACTGATATAACTGGTAGGTTGTGTTCATCATAGTTGTGACTAATAGACTTCAGATATATCAGAAGTGAAACAATTATTATTAGTAGTCTTGGATGATCGTTATGCTATATTATAGAATAGATTGAAGTAGAAGTTGTACTACTGGCAACTGACCTAACGGTTCTAATGGTCAACCATTCACTTCTGAACCTTTAAGTCCTGGATTTGATTCCTGGCGTGCCAGTGGGTGAACACTACTGAAGTGGCTAAGATAATTTGAACCTATGCACTCAGCTTAGCTCAACAACCAGTGACTCTATAGATCAATACCAATATTGTTCCTCAGTTATCCAATAACGTTGACTTGTGTTTACAATTAACAGTCTTTCAGAATAAAACTCATTTATTTTGTTAAATTAATCAAACAGTTAATTTTACTTTCATATCAATAATAGAAACTAGACGAGATTATCTATTCAAAACTATGAATACCTAACTGCATTGATATTTTCCACATTTTTTAATATAACAATCAAATTAAACGTTATTTTATTATTTTAAATGTTACTTACCATGAATAAGTGGATCTGATTGAAATTTTGATTTTAAACTGTAAATATACCGGGAACAGAAATCTTTACATAATTCATTTACTTTATGTAATTCCAATAAATGTATACGTAATACTTGTATAGCTTTAACGATCTATTAAAATGAATTGAATGAAAAAAATTATATAATTAAGTATAATGTATTATTAAATATAATTTATGATTTCAATAGTTGGGATAAACCACCATGGGAAACCTGGACGCACTGGACGGTCGATTCGTCCTAGTATGGGGCTCCCGCACCTTGCGAGATCCAAGAGGCATTTCCTGGAGTTCCAGTGAGAAGCCGTTGTCAGTGTAGTTCAACCAGGTTCATTGTGAGATAGTAATTCACTGAAGACAATGGTGTACGGTGGCGCAATTTCGTGGATTGGTTGAAATTAGACATTAACATCGTTGGATGCCGGCTCAATGGTCTGGAGGTGAAGCGCTCGCGCGTGGAACTGAGAGGTCCTCGGTTCGAACCTCGCGAGGTGTGGGATCGTGGCTGCGCAACGCTGAAGAGTCTCACAATAGGACGAAACTACCGTCTAGGGCTTCCAAGTTTCCCATGGTGGTCTTTGATTCATCCAGTTCATGATGTTTCTAAATCCATAAACAGCAGATGATTTAGCCACTTTTATACTCGTTTAACGATATCTAGTAACAATAATCAACAATTATAAGTAAAGATAGATAGTAGCTAGCAGTAGAATTCAGAACGTGGGTCCCATCTTACTTTGGACTTGTCAGCCGGATAAACCTTCATCCCCAAGTTAAAATAAACTTCGGGACTCGAACCCGCCATTGTTCACTTCAAACACTATCGAGTTATCCACTTAGATACTGAGTTCAAACTGATCACGAATACGATAAAACACGAGTTCTAGATTCCACTGCTAGCCATCATCATCTCTTCTTATAATACTTGTGAATTAAAGCAATATATAGAGGCCATCAATTACGGTCTTGCTTAATGTAGAGTGAAACACCTTTATATTACAATTATTACATTATCAAATTAAAATAACCATGATTTTTTTATTAGAAATATATGTTCTCGTCAATATATTCATTTACGTAAATCACTGTACACACTCTTAAAATACATTAATATTGAATCAACAAACGGGAGAACTATTTATTTATTTTTAATAAAAACTTACAGGTTCCATTAAATTATTTTGTCAATAACCTATGGTCATTTAATCAATAGATGATGTAAACATACAATGTGTTTGAATAGGAACCATTTTTCTTAAAAAATATATAAATAGTTACACTTCTATGAGATAAATGTTAGTTCATTAAATATTTTATTATCGGATAATTTAACACTGTTATATCAAGATATTTGAAAAAAATGTACGATTATATTGTGGTGTATGCTACTTATTCTGACAGATATAAGTAGTATGTACTACTAATTTGAAGTGGAATACTTGATAGTAGAAAATTGAATTAAAGTGAACAGAAAGGGAAACAAAAAGCATTAACAGAATTAAAAGAATCATGAAGTATGTGAAAGACAATTGATAGGCAATATGAAGAAAAAGTATTTAATGTATGATTTTCATATTTTACCAAAGCACCGTATAATTTTGCATTGAATAATAAATTAGTTTTCCCCATCTGTGTTTTCGTTCACTACAATGTGATTAAAATACATAATTCCGAATATATATTTATTTAATTTATGTACTAAGTATACGATCGTCTAATTAGGGTTGAGCCATACTTTTACGATTAAGGGTTAGTCATACTATTCGGTTGTTTGTATAGAAATATGTAGTGCATGCTCCGAACTAGTAACACTTGGTTGAGACTTAAATGATTTAAACACTAAAAAAGACTTTTTAACATGGTAATTTTGTAAAGGGTTGAAGTGTGCCAAGTAGGCTAGACATACCCAGTTAATCTTACATAATCATGTATTATATATAAAATGCAAACTGTGCAATTAGTATATTTCCTCTCAGTGATAATGTATAACCAGTGAATGCAAATTATTACCTAAACTTCCAGTTTTTTTTCCACAAAAACAACAGAATCCGAAATTACTGAACAACAAACCATTTATTTACCAACATTCTTGAGGGTCAAACTAGTAATGCATTTGATGAACCAGCGGTTTCGCTAAGTAGGCTAACAATTAATTAGATCTACTTCATTTGTGCATACACCATTTCAATAAAATATCAAAAATAATAAGATATTTGATCTTATTACTTATGTATGGAGGTTACAAAAAGAATCTTTTAGGAGGAGATTTTATCAATAGATGAACTAGAGAACGGAATTTGGTAGTTATGTGTTTTTATACTCAAATTGAGTCAAGAGTTTTGATGAGAGCATACCTAAACGGATGTACGTGAAGGTTATTTCAGACTTCCAACTTCATGGTTGGTAGTCAAGTACTTTAACTGCTATACTACAACTCCGTCGGTGAATTATAGAATTGTGTGAATTAATAGACGAAAAAAGCCTGAGTTTCTCTAGTTTCAGTGATAACGTTTTCTAGATGATAAACATCTTAAAAAAGAACAGTTTGATTTTATACTTTTCATGTACTTCCAGTAGTGTTAGTATTTTAAAACGAGTCCTTTATTTCATATTTTCTAATGGAATATCGAAATGAAATATATGTCAAAAGATATTAATTGTACTTAGTTAATTTGGTGTTTTAGTTAAATTATTAGTGGTTACATGATGTCTAAGCACTCAACAATCCTGGATTGCATACAAGTCATTGGAGTCTGGGTACACATTTTCACATTTAAACACTTATTTGACTGTTCGCTATAATTTCCGCATAATTATAAATAACGTAAATGAATTATGTATGAGAAATCATTAAAGCGTAGATGAAGAAAGGAATACAAAAGCAGTCAGTAGAAGCCTATATATGCTAGTGTATTACCATTTCTTAGGTCGAGATTGGTTAAATATAGATATCCGATTATATTCTGAAAATACACTAATAACATTAGATTGCTTCCGTTGGTAGGTTTCTGTTGAGTAACTGTCTTAAAATATAGTTGTCACCATTTCTAGCCTTCAGGTGACTAATCATTTACTGATTGTAAATCATCTGAAGAAAAACATGAACTCACTAAACGACTAAATAAGGTAATAATGAATACTTCAACATTTATTTAGTGCGAAAAGATTAACTAAGCTGGATTTTGAATCAAAAACTATATTCTGATAGTTTATTATATTAGAAATAAGGATAGCTACTCTTTGATTACGTCAGTAGACATCTGAACAGTTTGACTCTTAACTTAAGAGTACTCATTATGGGACATAGTAACAGAATATTCGAATTTTTTAAGTATTTAATATGTAAATTAATAACCGTTTTAAAAATCTAAAATATTTTATTATTTTCATTGACTGAAGTAAAATGATCTGACTGTGTAACATACATACTTTCTGGTATAGATTTATATCTATCTATTCTAAGAATGGAATTTATCGCTTTAATCACTTATATAGTTATGTGTTACATAATACAATATTCAAACCTTATTGAGGAAATATATCTTGCACTTTACATTGTAAATAAGTATTTAACAAACTAGGCAATCAATACTTGGTTTATATATTAGCGAAGTGGTGTTCGTCAAACATCATTTATTTGTTCATAAAGTTGGCCTAGAAAAGTCAGTCAGACTAAGACTCATTTTCTCGTACTGATGACAGCTTGAGTGCTTCGAGAAAACAGATAGGGCTGAGATTATCGGTAACGTTCTAATATTCACTGATTGTATCGCACTTTCGGCCATGTTTCCAGTTCCATATTAGGTTAATGCTATTGGTGATTTTTATTAATGACTTCATTTCAAGCGATTGCTGATATCTGCAACAATCTACTGTGTACACAAAGATTGTATCATGGACCGACATGGCAGGTTAAAAAACACAAGTATAGTAAAGTTTAGGGCTTGATGTAAAATCTTTTGCAAAAATTACAATTTGATGTTCTAAATTTATCCATGATACTTCTTCATTTGAGATTTGATTATTTAGTTTCTTATACGTTATACTAATGGTTGTTTTGTTAAAATCTAGTTGAATTTACAGCTAATAATAAATGAATCCCTGGAGTATTAGATTATCTTTCGTACACAGTAGAAATCAGATGAGATTTACAGTTTTAGTTCGTTGGATTTACCGAAACTATTGAATTAGTCTGTAGTAAATTTCATATGTGTTTAATTGTAACTCAGGTTTGATATATCCATGATAATATTGTCATTATTTCTATGGTACAACAAAACTAAATAAATGTAAACCACGAACATCTGCTCTAACCAACAATACAAATTCGAATGAAGTAATTTGAATAGAATTTCACATATTCAATATGGTTTAATTGGATACATCCCAAAAACAAGATAAACCCATTAATATCAAAAGGGGTTTTGTAGATATTATAGTAATTTTAATAGTTCGGAATTATGAGTCAATTGAAGCTAGACCACCATGGAAAACTTCGAAGCACTGGACGATCGTTATGTCCTATTGTGGGACATCTCAGTGATTAGAATGAACGAATCACAATTAAAGTGCTGTCATAAGCTGTGAATATTTAACTTCAGTTTATTACATTATTTTAGGTTTAATTACCAAATGTTTGTTAGTTAATTAAGCTTTTCGTTTTATCATATTTGTTTATATAGATAATTATAAATCATGTCTAAGTATCTACAGTTTGGGATATTTTATTATTTCTTGAGTATATTGTGCTTGTCGAAAGAACATGAACGTAAGTTTTATTTCACCAAGCACCTTTTAACAAGGTAACTGATTCATTACGTGTAAGCCGAATCTTCTTCTACATAGTTACATTAGTCTCAAAGAATAAGCAAAAATAAGGCTAATCAACATTCAGTTCTACTGGAAGTACGTTGCACATCGTATAGCATAGTGGTAACATGTCAAACTTTTAAGCTTCTTATCGTCAGTTTGTTTCATATGTACTATTAGCTCCTAGTTAAACTAGTTCAGTGATGAAATGATCGTAGCAAGTTGTTGAAATATCTGAATCATAAAATATGTATTGAATAAATCAGAAATTCCATATAAATCTCAATATCTTTCATTAAGAACAGAAAACAGTTTCCCCTGGAAATTTGTCGACTCATTATATTGTATAATATCATAAAAGAAATACATAGTCACTTGTATTATATTTGACACGTTTAATATCATTATTTTTACTTAAATAAGTAAATTAATAAACACGAGCTGATTTTTTCGGACAATAATCAGCATATGCTCACTAGTGACTGGCTTCAAGACGTATTTAGTGAGAAGCAGTGACCAGTGGAGTTCAACCGGGTCTGTTTTGAGATAGTAACTCACTGAAGATAGTGGTGGATGTGTCGCTCAATTTCGTGGATTGGTTGAAGTTAGACATTAACACCGTTGGATACCGGCCGGCTCAGTAGTCCAGAGGTCAAGCGCCCGCGCACGAGATTGATATTTTCTGGGTTCAAATCTCGTAGGGGGTGAGATCGTGGATGTGCACTGCTGAGTAGTCCCACAATAGGACGAAACAGCCATCCAGTGCTTCCAAGTTTTCCATGGTGGTCTAGCTTCCATTGACTCATGATCTCAACTGTTAAAATGATTTTTATAAATTGATTGTCAAGTGAACTATTCAATGATTAAAACTTACAATGAAATTAATTTAGAAAATAAAATTTAATTATACTTTAATCAAACATTATTTATAACTTACTAATTCATTTAATTCAGTATTATTACTTAAAAATTGAAATCTTCTTTCATCATTAAATGTACAATTTAATTTTCTTAATTCATCATCAGCATCAGGATCAACATCATCATTTGCTACGTAATTGGAATTATTTTTATGATCAATTGATTTATCACATTTTAATAATTTACGATTTCTATTATCATTATTATTATTATATACAAAATTTGTGGATATATCATTATTTACATTATTACTAGATAAAAAACAATCACTAATATTTCGTACATTTGTTACTGAATTAGTTTTATTAGTAGTATTAATAGATGATATAGCATTTGTAGTTTGTGTTATAGTAGTTGTTGAAAGTTGATTATTTAATGAATGATTTGTATTATATCTCGAAGAAATAGTAGTTTTTACAGTATTATTACTATCAGTGATATTGATTATATCTTCTGTACTTTTATATTTTTCATTACTTTTATTTAATTTGTCACGATTCAATTTTAATGAATTTGATTTTAATTCATTCATTTCATTTTCATCATTATGATCACTTTCTGTTTGTTGTTGTAATTCTATTCGACGTTGAATATATGAAATTAATTCTGTATTAAAAGTATCTAGTGGAGGTGGTGAATCAGGTCTAGCTGTAGCTAATTCACATTGTTGTAATAATAAAGCCAACAGAGGATAAAGTGGATGACTACAGAAAAAAAACAAGTCCAATGTAGAGAAAAAATATATATATTCAAGGAAACTGTAAATTTAAACAATACATTGTGAATATTATATAGAAATAATTTGAACTATATTTTCATTATTAATTAATATCGTGGACGAGCATTGCTGAGGAGTCCCGCAATAGGACGAAACGGCCGTCCAGTGCTTCCAGGTTTTCCATGGTGGTCTATCTCCAACTGACTTATGATCTTAACCATTGAAATTACTACAATATCCACAAAACTCTTCCGAAATTAATATTTATTGGACAAGCAATGACTTTGATGCTAGAAATCATTAATTATGGTAATAATAATAGTAATAATCCCTTGTTCAATGGTGTAAATTTTAATAGAATAAGGAATTATCAATACCAATTGTGTAATATTATAACAGATTTCTGTCTATCATGGGTTGAATTTTTAGAAAAAAATTATTTAAAGACAGATTTTTTAAATGTTTTTACTAGTCAGTATTTGTCATCCATGCACAATCACAAGAGAATTACATAACAATTCAGATGCAATAACCATTTCTTTCACCATCTACTGGACCAAAGATGAATTAATTTCATTGTATTGGTTGCTCATTTTCTTTCTCAACGATTAGGGGGCAGAGGAAAATATGAGCGGGGTTGCATACAGTTAGTAATGATAATTATTTGGTTAAAATGAATCCAAAACACAAAGGTTGATTGAAATATTTATACAGTTATAAATAGGTAACCGATAGGTTTAGTCATAGTCATTTCATACAGTCGAATTCTTTGAATATTATGATTGTATTTTTTGTTTAACTGGTATTTGAAATTAATTATTAAATTCAAATAATCGATAAAGTCCTGATGTGGTCTAGTGATATTACCATGACAAAAATATTTTTCCCACATAATATAATAGTTAATATACTAGCACCATATAGATCGATAAATCTACGAAGTAATTCTGGGAACAGATTAAAGATTTCCACGAAAACCCAATATTTTTTTATTTTAGTTACTAAAATTCATAATACAATTCACAAGTTAAATATTTTTTTCCCTCAGAAATAGATTATTACAATTGGGTCTATCTAGAAGTCAATCATTTGTCGTCGAATAGACCATTGATTTTTGATAATTCTTCAAATAAAATTGTTTAATCATGTTAAGCGAAGTTTAAATAATTCACTAATTGAAATAAGTAACTAAATGTTCAGTGAATAAATCATTTCTTTAAATAAATAACTATATTTCTATGTCGCTTGTTTCAAGTACTTCTAATCATCTTATGAAATCATATGTCATCTTCAGTGTAATTCGGTGCAAGATTACAATTTATGGACGAACCAACCACGTATAAGATAACAGGTCTCAGATTTGGGCGCGGAATTCATTCATTCGGATAAATAGAGTTTTGGCATTATAACTGATGTCAGTTTGTGATGAAAACCCTAAATCTAATTTTTAACCTTAATCATCAACTGTAAATCATAATTTTAATTCCTCATACAGGTTTATAACCCTCATTTGGTTCTGGTTATTAGGTGAACACTCCCGAGGTTAGTCTAGTGTAGCTCAAAGGTCGTCCATAAATTATAGTCTCAGCTTAGTCGGAATAATAAGGTAATTAAAAATATATCCGTGTAATTTGTAATTAAATTGTCAGTGAATAGAGTGATAAACAATAAATTATTTATAATTGAATTTGAATAGATAACAATTAGAATTTGAATGCTTTAATTACTTTTCATATTGCATTACACTATCGTTTGTTTGTTCTTTGTCTTTTCTTACAACATATAACCAAAATCATATTAACTAATAACAAATAATAAATTAATCCAAGCTTGTTGAGAATAGGACTAAATTTGAGAATTTTAAATTTAATGAAGTAAAAAACGGACAGTAATAGTAGGATTAACTAACCTCATAATAAACTTTTTGTCAGCTTCTAGTTCTGGATCATTTTGTTGAAGTTGTAATGTGGTAACAATTGGAAAACTGGAAGTTTGGAAAAAAACAAGAAGGAACTATGAATTCTAACTAATCTAATTAAGACATTTCGAAGAATAATTCAATGACATGTAAATATGATGTACAAAGTAAAGAATTTAAGTTTCATCGAAAAACGGTTATATGGTGAAATCTAGTTTCCAATGCCTCTCTAACTGATATAAAAAAACAAGAGAGGATAACTTCTTATCGAATGAATCCCACAAACTTCCTGTCTTTATAATAACCATGAGCCCACTAGTGACTCATTATGACATGAACCTCGGAGATCCAGTGCATGAATGTGGTCAACAGAGGTCAACTATATAGGTAGTATGATTAGCATTAATGATTTTATTTCGAGCCATACATTCACAGGTTGATGGCTTTGTTATCAAGTAGGAAAAGAAATTTATTAAACATAATTTTTATACCATGATTTGTATTTAGGTTATCGAACAATTTCAGTTATTGTTTTTAACATTAATTTACAATTTACTCGGTAACATTTCGAGATAAATGAAGGGAGAACTTTTTAATGAAAAGGTTAAATTACTGTAATTCAGTTATGTACTACTGATTACAATTTCCAATATATTTTTTAATCCATAAATGCTTATGTGATGACTTTTCAAAACAATTAAACATAGTAATATTAATAAGCGTTCTGTCAGTTTACCCTATATCTTTGAGCAATAATAAGTTACATAACTTGTGATCTCTATGTTTTCATTGCTTCTCTTACATATCTTACAATTCCCAGTTCATATAAAAGAGAAATAATTCCTGTAAATTCCACAATTTACAATTGGCTGATCACTGGTGGTGATCAATGTCATGTATGTCAGGTCCTTCTTAGGGCAGATCGAATGCTATCGATCATGTTGCAATGTAACCACTTGTCTAGGTGACTCAATATTGCATTCACTATGTTGAGATAAGATGGTGGTTGGAGCTAATCAACAGAGAACCCTGGACCTTAGTTTCGTACTACTTGGCACTCGTCAGCAAGGTGTATCTGTAATCTTGAGGGAACTGATTTGCCTAATGGATTCGACACCGTGTCACTCAGCTTCACAGTCAGAGATGTTACCAATGAGCTATCCGTGCCGCGACCGACCTCCTGTAGGACTGAGATGTATTAACAATTGATTGATCACTGGGTGGTGATCAATGTCATGTATGTCCTTCTTAGTGCAAATCGAGTCCTATCGACACGGAATCGAATCCATCAGGGAGCTTCAGTCCCCTCAAGATTACAGGTATACCCTGCTGATGAGTGCCAAGTAACACGAAACTTAGGTTCAGGGTTTCTTGTCCACTACCTCCAACCACTATCTTATTCCATAATTTATTATGATTAGTTAGAAGAGAATTGGTTAAACGAGGTATTACCACTTAACTACTTGATAATGATTGAATTTTTATTTGATTAAAGAAGTTTGTTGACTAATCTGATTGTTACCATCTATGATATTATTCACACTGTTATTTTGGTATGTGATTCAGTTATCAAAGAATTTTAGTGAAGTAATATCGAAATATTTCTAATTATTTGTTTCATGCAAATAGAATGTTTATTATATAAAATATATCAAAACAAAGCAGCTTCAAATATATAATGCTATAATACACTTAACCTACTATTCAATAAATTAATCTTACTTCGCGTTAAATTCCAAGTTCACTATCCTCTATCAAGACTATGGTGACGCAATTTTCTTATCCATAAATTTTTGTTACTGATAAAGCTTATCAGATAAAAGATTTTTCCTTTTAACTAATTTGAAAGGAAATGACAGACAGCATTGATCAAAGTGTTAATGATCACTTAGTGATGTAATCACTCATTGAACTATAACGCACCATTGGAAAAGTTTCTACTACTTGATACTGTTAAAAATTATGCGAAGAATTCACTGTTAAGTAGTTCACATCAAAAGATAGTGCATTTTATTCATATAAACTTTATTATCAGTAAAACATTGTCATTAAGATTTTATTAACACCAACACGGTATTTAATCGTAAAACCAGACCTGGAGAATAGATTACATACATTTCTTAGAATTAATGTAATTAATAATAGTGAGAAGGATATCAATGATCATATAAGGAACAAATTGAGAAACAACTCTATTTGTACATACTTCGCTAAGAAAGTTAATGTTGAGTTAATCACCTTTAGCGTTTTCCTTTGTTGTTTGTCTTAAACGATCGGACTTCCTAGTTTTGTATGTTTCATTGAAATAGATTATTTCTTCTATGGTTTATCAAAGAAAATCATTTCTCTTAGCTTAATCACCTGAATAACAAACATGCACTTCATAAAATACATAGACTGTTGTTAGTAGAAAAACTTAGAAGGAATGTTTCTTCCTAATTGGCACACGTCAGATAGATTTATCTGCATCATTGTATTGATGTTCACATTAGGATTCACTGAAAACGCCAACCCATTATCCACGGAGTTAATAAGTTCAAATATGCACCAAATTGTTAAAAGGGTATGATATTCATTATTATTATTACTAAAGTGTTTGAGTCATCCTCTAGCTAATATTTAATCATATTAAACTTATGAAATTAAGGCGATCCATCTAAGATATATATATTCCAACAGTAACTAATCAAAACTCAATTCTAAACATCAATAACCGGACAATTTAAACTCATTCTAATAATGTCACAGATAAATAAGACAAAATTAATCAATAAAATATACACAACAATGAATTTACAATTTCATAATTATTGTATAATTTTAAGGTAACAAATAAAAATCAAAAAAGAATCCATTGTATCTAATCTATTTAAATACATAGAAGAAGAACTGAATTTCCTTTTTCCTCAGTTTTTCTATAATCTCTAAGTTAATCATGATTGACAACATCAAAATGAATCTATTTCGTTTTCATTCGTTTATGGTACGATAACTTATTTTACTCTAAACAATATTATAAAATATTGATTTGTTGTTGTTGTTGAAATCATAGAATGAAAGGCAAAAATCTCAATATGTCCTTTAGGTTTTTTATATAGGTACCCTCTTTGATAGGATAGAACATATAATAATAATAATAATAATCAGTTGAGTCCCAGTAATTAACGATTTAGGCATTAATCAGCTAATAGTAGGTTAAAAGTTGTGCTTCTTTATACTATTATCCATCATTTAATCAGACATTATCAGTTAAATCACTAAAAAAACTTAAGATTCCATAGTCGACATTGAAGAGCAGTACTGTGATAGTCAATTCATTAGATATAGTGTTTCGATTTTAGTTAATTCGCGGATTGGTTGAAGTTGGACTTTAACGTCGTTGAATGCCGATTCAGTGATCTAAAAGTTGAGCGCTCGCGTGCGAGACTGATAGGTCTTGGGTTCTAATCTCGCGAGACGGGATAGTGGATTATGCACTGCTGAGGAGTTCCATACTATGATGAAACGGCTGTCCAGTGCTTCCAGGTTTTTCATGGTGGTCTAGCTTTAATTGACTCATGAATTCAACTATTAAATTTTTACTCTAGCTAACAGAAGGTAACATAATTGTAAAGGATACTTATTTCTAGATCATCGATCAAAAATTTTTTTTACATACTTGTAAGTATTTAATGATGTACTTTCTATGTTAAATTTTATGGTTGATTATTAATACTTACGATCAGACGTTTATCTATAAATATTTGTAATTTAAATCATAAATAGATGTACACTTTATGAGAAGTGAAATATAAATTGAATAATGATGCATTACATATTCAGTACCATCAACCATATGATTTTTTTTTTGGTATATATTATCAATAAACTCTGTACTAGTAATTCTAATAAGTATCATTATGATGAAACACCTTAAAACTAATAAATCATAAGACATATTCATATATAAGAGTAATGACGTTATAAATAATTCCTATTTTCAGTAGGGAATTATATGGAGATTTTAGTAATTTAATAGTTGAATTCATGAGTCAATTAAAGCTAGACCACCATGAAAAACCTGGAAGCACTGGACAGCCGTTTCATCCTAGTATGGAACTCCTCAGCAGTGCATAATCCACTATCCCGTCTCGCGAGATTAGAACCCAGGACCTATCAGTGTCGTGAGTGAACTCAACCTCTAAACCAGTGAGCTGGCATCCAACGATTTTAATGTCTAACTACAACCAATCCACGAAGTTGCGCCACCGTCCACCACTGTCTTCAGTGAGTTACTATCTCACAACAGACGCGGTTGAGCTCCACTGGTCACTGCTTCTCATTAGAACTCCAGGAAATACCTCTTGAAATCGGTCACTAGTGAGCAGACGATGATGATTATCACAAGAGGGTTTGCGGAGATTTTAGCAATTTAATAGTTGAATTCATTAGCGTTCACGAGCAAGACCGATAAGTCCTGAGTTCAAATCTTGTGTGCCGGATCGTGGAAGTGCAGTTTTGAGGAGTTCCATACTACGACGAAACAGCCATTCAGTGCTTTCAGGTTCTCCATGATGGTCTAGCTTTAATTGGCTCATGAATTCAATTATTAAATTCCTATTTTATACTGAATTACGCAACATTTTCACTTAAGTATATTTAAACAACTATGTTCAAATATTATAAATAAACATTTATGAAAATTCTTCGGACAAAAAGAAATTGTAATTATGTCCTTAAATTCTTTTACTGTGCAGTATTTACAAGAGTTTGTAAATTGTTAAAATAGGATACGTGTTGGAAAGTTTGTTTCTAAATTGGAGGTGTTTAATGTTTTGATTAATTTTAGACATTTGATATCATCATTACTAGTTAGCTATTATTGTTGTTATTTGTGTTGTTATAACAATAGTGAAGAAAAACAATTCAGATTTTATTTATATTTGACTTATAGTTTACTTCTTTTTAATCACTTCTCTCAATGCTCTTTCCTTATTGTTTCATTTTTGTTTTGTTTTTTCACATCTTCAATGTAGGTGTCCATGATAAGTGATAATTTGAATAATATTTTACAATAATTGGTCATG